GGTGATTCGCTCGGCCTCCTCATCATCAGATTACCGTTGGCCACGCCACAAGCATAATATATAACGTCATCAACTAACCCACATTTTTTCTTATTTTTTGTATTTCACTTTTGTGTATCACTCGGTCCAAACGAGCTTTAACTTAAATTTAAATGTAAAAAGATTAAACAACTTAAAAAAAAATCGAATGCATTGAATAATTGACGAAGATATTGCAACTTAAACAAACGTATCAAGATTAAATAAAATATTCGTCTAGAGACTAGAGAGAGCTACATGATGGTATATGTATATCATAATATCAACTATGAATTGTTGACTGACGAACGGTGTCTTATGCAGTTAAATGAAGGGAGAATCAAAGTAAATACTACTCCTGTAATCATCTTACTAAACTATTTGTAAAGTGCTTTTATAATGTTTTGACCCTACCCTGTATATTATATAAACACAAATATTAAAAGAAGAAACTTATATTGAAACTTTGAAAGCACAAATTGACGAAAGTTTCGTTGGAGTTCCGATGTAAGGAATCCAACATCTCAGCCACTTGTCATATACTATAATAGTCGATGCTTTTGTATAAAGATTAGTAGTATAATAATTAGTGACATAAAATGATTTCTAATTGTGCCAACAGACAAATTTAAATATACTCTCCCATGAAGCCTACTAATAAAAATATTCATCATGGGTTTAATCCTCGGTTTATGGGATCACTTGTTAATAATAATAACAACTCTTTAGAATATTAGTATTCTTAAGAAATCTATACGGAGTATTAAATAACACACCACTATTATTGATGCATGCATGTCTTACAAGTAACAACCACGAATAAACTAATTGTCATAATTGGGACTTTTCAGTTTTAAAATCATGATCCGATCCGTTTGCTATAACAGGTGAGTGTATAAAACGTGAAATTGTCACATTGTTCTCAATTTGAAAGATTTGAAAATTGAAAGGATAAGTTGAATGATAAATAATTAAATATAGCGATCTATTTTTAAGAAATTAAAGAATTAAACAGTTGGAGTAGCATTTTTTAGTGCGAAAAAAAAAAAAAAAAGAATTTTATCATTTTAAAAATTTAGTAGGGTTCAGGTTCAGAGAAGTCAAATTCGCCAGCTACGAAGGGAAAAACGTGAACTTTTTTTTTTTTTTTTTGTCATCTGAATTTTATTGATAAACCAAGGAAGGATACAAGATGAAATACATATGCCGGCGGACTATACGAATGTCCCCAGAAACATTAGCCCAAACAAGGGAAACAAAGCCCTAAAGTACAGGGAAACTGATTCAAGCCAAAAGTAAAGGCAAAATTCTAAAGAATAAAACTACGACAAAGAGAGAAAGCAATCTAAGCACTATAATTGAACAAAGGCACGAGAGACTCTCACAATGCTTCCCTAAAGAACCTGTAAACGCCGGTAGCACCAATAAGACCGGATTGACCTCACACCGAAGACAAACCAGTAGCATACCGACAGGGAGGAAAGCAAGAACCCAACGCGACCAAAGACACAAATACAACTACCAACACTCCTCACCAGCCAATCGGAGAAAGCAAGAAACCCTAGGTTCAAGGCAAAAACCTTGAAATCGACCGGAGACAAACCACGAGAGATCAACAATTCTTACATGCGGACACTCGTCGAACCAAATTCAGCCACCTACAGACTTAAAAATGACGACGTCCTCGCAAGAGAAGAACTAGAGAACGATTCCACTGCTTCGACTAGAACCTAACTCCAAAACTTCCAAAAGAAACTCAAAGATAGGCTAGTAGGTGACTCAGCAACAAAATCCCATCAAGATGGCTCACACCGAGAACGAACCAAGAGAAAACCGCAACCACTAACCAGCAAGAGGACTCGAAGGAGAGGTAGAACAAAGATCCAATTTCAAACCCACGAACATAGCCATCACCATCGAAAAGAGCCTCACAAACCATAACGAACCTAAAAGTAGCAACCTAAATTGATTCCATCTAACCCATAGAAACAGAAGGCAAGCTTACCCGACGAGAGAACTGACAAGACCACGGCCATTGATTCGTGAACCACCAAAACTCAAGATCCACCAGGATCCCAAAATTTCGCCCATTCTTCTATGAACAGAGCACCCGCCAGATCCACAGATCTCGGACACCCAACAACAACTCTCAGAGGAGAAGCTGGCCACCGACAAAGCCAAACAGCCTCGCCGAGAAGATCCACAGTTTTCGTCAAGTGAAGCCCTTCTCCATAGATAACCATGAGCTAAACGAATTGCAGAAACAACTAACAACATCGAAAGCAAACTAAAGGCCCCTCTCACAGCAGCGGCGAAGAGCGCCGGCCACCGGAGAGGGCGAGCGAAGAACTGGTTTTGTTGGGCGGCGGCTGTTTGAGAGCGTTTGTGTCCGGGAAAAACGTGAACTATAGTACAATTTAATCGACAATTAAATAATTCGATGATTTATATTTTTAATTAATTTTTAACCCACTGATCCCAACTTTCGATACTTTGCAAGCATAGAATAATGGTAGAAAAACATATTTTGGGTTTGACGGACTTCTCAATGCGGCGAGGTGTGACTGACTATAATAAGAAAATGCATTTGAAGTGGCCGTCTCCAATAACCTATTTTATCAGATTATAATACAAGGAACATCTTACTTTAATATTGTAATACCTACTTTTTAATTTTCAGTTCCAAACCCAATAAGCCAAAAATAAAGATTTGATAATTGCGTGCTGAACCAAATTAACAAAGAGTTTTGCTGTACAAAGAGGGATCCCTTAATAAAGAAACAAAATATCTGAGGCTTCTTCTAAAAATTTTGCAACCGAAAATAGTGACTTAAACAAAGTTGCTCTCAATTCCCAAAAGACATTCTTGTACCCCAAGAAACACAGAGAAAATAGTAAATGATAGGCGGGATTTTACCAGATTGTAGAATTACGTCTCTCCCCTAACAACCATTATGGTCACACCTTCATCAATTCCTGTGGATTCATATACGTGTGTAGTAATTAGTGGCTACTCAATCTACAAGATGGATCAAATATCAAAAGTAGACCAGAGCCATTGACATAAAACTGATACCTTCTCTTTCTGTTTGTAGAGCTCCTCTATCTTCTTCATGTATACATCAATTAGTTTCTGCCATTACCAATCACATTAAAGTTTAGTCAGCCACACATACCCATCAAATAATCAAGCTCTCTCGCTTTTTGTTTTATCAACAACACAAACTCTTGTGTGGTTGGTTTACCTGCAAATCACTTGACAAATCCTTCACGTTGTCTTCTGAGAGCTTCTTCTCCTGCAAAAATGAAGCTTCACTTTTAACGAATAAGATCACAAGGAACAGCCAAAAAGAAAAAAAGCCTCGGCACCTTTTCGAGTTTATCATAAGATTTCAAGGCATCTCTCCTAATGTTCCGCAGTGCAACCTATAAGAATCCAAATACGAAAGAAAAGAAGGGCTGAGATAAAGGAACATGAAGTTTTTTTAGCACACCCTTATGCACCCTAAAAGTAACTAACTTTTGTTTGACAATCCCAAATACATTTTAGTCACACTATAAAGAGAAGGCAAACATTACTACTGACCTTCCCTTCTTCAGACTGTTTTGCAACAACCTTTGATAGTTCCTGCAGTGGTACAATTAAAAAAAGGTAAGGCAGCATATTGAAAATCCAAATCTGATGAGAATAATGAATAGGCTTGCCAGGAAGAGATACCTTTCTTCTCTCAGATGTGAGGGGAGGCAAGGACAGTCGAATGACATCTCCATCGTTATTAGGGGTCACTCCAAGATCAGAATTCACAATAGCCTTCTCTATAGCCTTCAAGCTGAAAGTATTGGGATGTATCATGAACCGACCAAGAGAAAGCAGACGTGAAAAGTCTTGTACAGAAAACTCATCGGTCATGTACCTGGATTTGTCATATGGTTGCAGCAAAAGAGAACTCCCATCGGGGGTACTGATTTGGGCAATGCTTTTCAAACTTACTGGACTTCCATAGTATTCCACCTGAGGAAGCAAAGATAAAAACTTATCTATGGAACCAGATTTTGGTGAAATATGCAGCTGTAAATCTTAATACCTCAATCTTGTCAAGCATTGCTGCATTGGATCTCCCTGTCCTTATGGAGTTGAAACTCGTCCGAAGCGTTTCAATGGTCTTCTCCATCTTTGATTTCTGGATTGCACAAAACAAAAACCAGAATCACATCCAAAGTAGTAGTGATTCCTCGTTTTCCACTAAACAGTAACCAAAAGCTTTTAAAATAACGTACAACATCAGTCTCAATGGCAGACTTCTCTGCTTCTATTTCTTCAATAGTAGCAGACCTTATCACCAATCTGGAATTTCCAAACAAGAACATCCGGATTAGAGAAATCAGCAAACCCTAAAACCTCACATTAGTTTCCTAATGAGTGGAACCTGCCTCTTCTGTAGAGAGCGCTTGACGACGGGGCCACCGGAGAGATTGACGCCGGCACCGAGCGGAAGCTTTTCGGTCTTTAACGAACACGCAATTAAGCGTGCAGAGGGACATCTCGCCGAAGAGATTATCCTCAAACACGAATCTATCCAAGGTATAGAGAACATCAACCAACAACGATTAGATAAGCCAGGACAGTGAAGAAACAAAAATCGAAGGCCGAACCTGGGAGAGAGAGGATGGACTTGGAGTAGTTCGCTCTGAATTGAAGAACCGGTGTCGTGGGAGCAATGGAAGAGAATGAAGCCGCCATGGCAGTAGCCGTAGAGGTGAAGTGACTAAACTAGAAAAGACCTTTCGTTGGTTCGTCAATGAAATTGAAAGGGAGGGAGACGAAGAAGAATGACCGAATTGTTTTGGGATAAGGAACACTAGCTCTGTTTGGATGGACGGCTAACTATAATCCCTTCAGAGGTTTCTTTCAATTGGGCCTAAATGGGCTCAACGATCGACCCAATATTCAGCGTCAATGACACGTGGACGGCTCGATCCCGGCATGCAACTCTATTCTAGTAGACTAAATACCAATCAGCTCCATGCAAATTTCCTCCCAAGTCTACCTATAGTGTCTTCTGTTTTCTATTTCATCGTTATCGGAAAAGAATGGAATTGGGTCTTTCTTGGGAAAAGTACTTGTGTTCAATTATTATGGTGGTGTTGATAATAATGGGTAATGTTAGGACAATCAGTAGCGTCGGTCCACAAGGTGGGTGGATCTGCCGGATGGACCATTCTCGGCAAAGTCGACTACAATAAATGGACTTCCTCCGATACTTTCACCACCGGCGATTCTCTATGTAACAAACATATAACGTACGTTTTCTTTTTTTTCTGTTTAGAGTTTATTCTAATAACTTTGCATGGTTTATTACATTTTACAGTATTTTTGTACAACCGCCAGTTTCACAACGTGAAGCAAGTGAGCCGCCGTGATTTCCTCTCGTGTAACGCCACGTCAGCAATGGCCACCTACACTTCTGGCTCCGACACGGTGGCTCTTACAAAACCCGGCCACTTGTACTTTCTCTGTGGCTTCCCTGGCCATTGCCAAGCCGAGCAGAAGCTCCATGTCCTCGTTGCTGCCGCCATAGTCAGTCCCACCCTCAGCCCAGCTTTTGCCCCTGTTCCGTCACCTTCCACCGGGTCGTCTTCGTCTCCCTCTCCAGCCACGGCTTCCAAAGATACCGCTCAAAATGATGCCGTTTTGTTGTCAATGTCAGCGGTTTTGACTTCAACATTGAGTAGTGTTGTCGTGTTTTTGGTAGCATTGGTCTATTGTTGATTGAGAGATTTTTCACGTTTTGTTTTTGTTATGTTTCCCTAATTTTCAGCTTTGTGTGTGGTTTACTTTTACTTTTCTACCTAGCCACTTCCTATTGTTATTTCTTTTTGAAAATTTTATAATGATTAAAGTATTCGGTATGATTATGGTCTTATGTTGTCGGTAGATATGCAACGGTCGCGTGGTTTCTTCATATAAGAAAATATTATCCAGTGTTGTTTTTACTATTTGTGTCATTATTGTTTGTAGGTGGAGAGAATAGTGATGTACATAAAGCATAAACTGATTTTTTAGTCAAAGTCAATGAACTATACATGGTAGGACATATTGAATTGGGTTTGAGCCTAAAATATTTGGGCCTGAGCCCATAATACTTATATTTGGGTCGAAGGTACGATGATTAATAATAGTATGATTTGTACAATGGTCGAAGAAATGTAAAACTAAAAGGTTTTAAATTCTAACATATTTATGTCATGGTCCAAATCAAAGCGTAAATTGTCATAGGGTATTAAATGAAATGGTGCATTGATATCATCATAAACTATTTATAATACTTTTGCCGGTTCGACGTCGATTCCACGTCCTTCATTTATTATGGATAGATATAAAGACGAGTTAATTGGCATTTAATTCAAAAGAGATTACCAGAGATTAGTAAGAAAGAAGAGGCAACAATGTGATTAGCGGGAGCCGAGCCGATAATGCAGCCGAGGTTCGCGCTTACTCCTTGACCTTCGTACTGACATGCCTACTCACACGTGCGACAACAGTCCTACCACACCCCCTTCCATTTTATTTTTAATTCTGAATGTACTTTGATTTATGTTCTTTTAAATCGTGAATTAACTCTTACCTTTTTATGTATCTAGTAGTAGTAAGTTATTAAGTTCTTAAAAATAGATTAATAGTATAATTTATTTCGCAAAAATAAGAAAACTAGAAAAATGTCTCAAATACATGTCGCATTCTTTGTTTAGTATAACATATTATATTTTGTTATCAACAAGCAAAAAAATATAAGCTGCCCCAAAAAAAAAGATATGTCAAAATAAGATTCATTCACTACGGCTAATAAAAAAAGAAAAATTGAGTTGACAAAATTTAGTTATTTGAAAGATAATAATAGGTCATGGGATGTTACCAAAATAATTATATGCCCAAGGAAGAAAATAACTAGAGAAAAGACGAGATTTATAACGAGAGAAAAAAGAAACAAAATAAATCCTTGTAAACGATGGAAAAAAGGGGAAAACAAACTGTGCATGGTCAGTGGGAGTATATAACTACCACCACCCACTCACCATTCCGGAATTATCTCTGAATCACTCATAAACCCTTTCTTCTTCAAAGCCACTCACTCTAGGAGAGAGACGACTAAAACGCACAGTCTCTCCTGATCTGTATTGTATTTACTCCTATTATATCACTGTGAGAAAGAGAGAGCGCGCGCATTCCCACCAATTAATGCCTCTCTGCTCCAAACCGTGATACTCTTTACCTTTATCCTCTGCTTTGCGTAATTTTGTTATTTTCTTATGGAGATGGATCTCAGCAAGGTTACTCTTGACATTTTCACTAAGCTTGAACAGAAATGGCTCTCTCACTGCGACACCTCCAGGAAGACTCGTATCCTTAGCATCGACGGTGGCGGTACCACTGCCATTGTCGCCGCTGCTTCTATTCTCCACCTCGAGCACCAGATCCGCCTTCTAACCGGTGACCCTCACGCTCACATCTCTGATTTCTTCGACATTGTCGCCGGAACTGGCATCGGAGGCATTCTCGCCGCCCTCCTTGTTGCCGAAGACGGCTCCGGCAGGCCGATGTTCACTGCCAGAGACGCGGTTCAGTTTGTCACGGAGAAGAACTCGGAGCTCTTCGAGATCAGGTACACCGGCGTTTTCAGGAGGAACAAGAGGTACTCGGGGAAGAGCATGGAGAGGGTGTTGGAGGCTGCGTTTCGGAGGGAAGACGGTAAGGTGTTGACGATGAAGGACACGTGTAAGCCTCTCCTTGTTCCTTGCTACGACCTCAAAACCTCTGCTCCTTTCGTTTTCTCACGCGCCGGAGCGTCTGAGTCTCCGAGCTTCGACTTCGAGCTGTGGAAAGTCTGCCGTGCCACGTCGGCAAGACCTAGCCTCTTCAAGCCGTTCAATGTAGTGTCGGTGGACGGGAAAACCTCATGCTCAGCCGTAGACGGCGGTTTGGTGATGAACAATCCAACAGCAGCTGCCGTGACGCACGTGCTACACAACAAACGAGATTTCCCGTCAGTTAACGGCGTGGATGACTTGCTTGTACTGTCGTTAGGAAACGGTTCATCGACCATGTCATCTTCACCAGGGAGGAAACTCCGTCGTAACGGAGACTGTTCAACGTCATGTGTGGTGGATATAGTGCTTGACGGCGTTTCCGATACCGTCGACCAGATGCTGGGGAACGCTTTCTGCTGGAACCGTACCGATTACGTTAGAATCCAGGTATGTGATTGATTTCAACTTTTCTTGTCACTAAACCATCGATCAAAATGTCGAATATATTAAAATGTGGTGATGCATGCAGGCGAACGGTTTGACGAGCGGCGGAGCGGAGGAGTTGCTGAAAGAGAGAGGTGTGGAAACGGCGCCGTTTGGGGTAAAACGGTTACTAACGGAGAGTAACGGAGCAAGAATCGAGGGTTTCGTGCAACGTCTCGTTGCTTCAGGAAAGTCAAGTCTACCTCCAAGTCCTTGCAAGGAATCTGCCGTTAACCCTCTCGCTGACGGCCGTTAAGTTCCCTTTCTTATTTTTATTATTATATTATAATCCTCCGACCGTGATGTAAGTTTTTGTAACCAAACCCCAGCATCTTCGAATTAATTAATTAGCCTTTTCCTAATGACTTTAGTTAATTAATAATGAATGATAGACATATTTACTACTGACTTGCTAGCTTCTCTAACCATACTATCTATTTGCTATTCCCTTGGATCAAGGCCCGATGATTCTGTCAAAACTGTTTTCCCCAAATGACCTTTATTATATGTACCACTCCATACTCTTCCAACCAAAACAAAACAATAACTCAATGTAGAGCAATGATATGCCATTATGAATAATGCAATTACAAAATCTCAAATTAAAAGATATACACTCACTCTACGTATTGTAATATCGAAGGAATCATTGATGTGAAGGAAGTAAAGCATTAAAATAAACAGATATTCTTTCCTTAGATAGCCAGCACAGAGTGTTCCAAATCTAGAACTTGTCATTTTCAAGCAATAACATTTACACTAAAATATATTTTCTTTTATTTTAAAAAAAAAAAAAATACAGCTCGAAAATGTGAGGACACAAGTCTAATAAACACGTTCATCGCCTCTTCTATTCATTTTCTAACCTAATTGGACTATCGTTGTAACTAACTTTTACTGTTTACCCTTCTTTCTTATCCTTTCTAGCCCATCAAAATTAAAGTCAAAACATCCATTATTCATTCCTTCCCTACTCTAAATCGACTCCAACAAGGCAACCAAAAAATTGCTCCATTTTTATACGTTAAGTAAACCATTGCCAGAACCAATCTTACAATTCATTAACTTTAATTCAAAACTAATTGACAAGAATATCGTTCAAACAAAGTAAAAAGACAAAAAGACGACGTGTAGCTTCTATCATCTCTTTTTTTAATATCTTGCAACTCATGTTACCGTTTTATAACAAATGATACGTTAATATCGTCTTTGTCTACTTATTTACATGCATTTCTCGTTTTTTCTCGGTTTACATTATTTAGATAATTGTTTTTCCAGACATCCATTTATAACTTTTCTGGAGGCTTTTGTAAATCTCTCCACTACTTAACTAATTTTCATTTTTTATGTTTCTTTTTCTAGCATCATCATTCTGTTATTATAGATTGTTGACTTTTTCTAACGTTGATTCAACTGATCATTAATGTTATACCAAAAATTACTCTACTTTCTAAAATTATCTTGCATCTATAGTTTTACTAATTAACTACTATATGACCTGCGGTACACTGCGGGATAAATAAATTTTTGCTTGCGTTTTCTTATAACTTTATTATTTGTGTTATATATATTTGACTAAGAAACCTTTTGTTTATAATCGTATGATTGTTTGTGTCAATATTTTTGTAACTAAAAGTTTTCAATTTTAAGTGGTAGTTGTTTGGTTAATATTATTTGTTTTGTCTAGTGTTTAAGATTGTATAATTGTATTTTGATTGTTAATTCTAGGATTTTACCCGTAGTATAACATCCCATATTAATATCGACCCAAACTTGTACCACCATATAACCCCGTCCCGTGAAATTAAACATCATTTTGTTATTTTTTTCAATAATACTTTATTTAAAAGACGTATAATTCGAGTGAATTTAAAAGTTTGCTTTTAAATAGTTGCCATAATATTTATATTTTTAATTTTTATATAATCCAAATATTATTACTATTAAAATTTTTTTAGAGAATTTAAATATTATAAATACTTTAAAAGTTTTATAAAGTTATAATATTTATGATGGTTAAGATTCTTATAAATTTTAAAATATTTAAAATTTTAAAATATTTAAAATTCTTATAAATTTAAAATATTTATAGTATTTAAAACTTCATAAAAGTTTTAAGATTTTAAGTATTTCAAACATTTTATAAAGTTTCACTTTTTAAGAAGTTTAAATAATTAAAATATTTAAATTTTAATAAAGTCTATAAAGTTTATTGAAATATTTATAATATTTAAACTTCATATAAAGTAAAATATTAATTCATACAACCAAAAAGATATAAGTCAAAATTTGATCAAACAACCCAAATATTACATTTATTTAATTCATGTAGTTTCATGTTTACATAAAAGCCCCAAAACTTAAAATGGGATATGAGCAACAAATAGTAATTATGTAACTTACATCAAAAAAAAAAAAAAAATAGAAGAGAAGAAGCATGTGATGTGTTCGTTATGAAAACTTATCAAGTTTAATACCAAAAAATACAGCTTTTTGAGAAGAAGAAACATATAACACCTCGAGATATTTTTGGATTGAAAAATATCAGGGTTTTATTTTTGCAATTTGTGATGATCCTTCTCGGCTTTGGTGTTAGACTGAATCAAGACCGACACATCATATCCCTATATAACAAACAAACAAATATAAAAAATCATCATAAGCTTGAACATTACATTGACAAAATCATTTTTATTTTGCTCTGGAATGAAAAAATTAAAACGTTTGTTTATGGGAATGAATGAGAAACTTAATCAGTTTATATAGGGGAGAAATTTAGAGTATTGTAATTAGGTTTAGATTAAAATCTAATATTTAATATTTTCTAAAATTTTGGGGAAATATATTTGCAAAGATTTTATGGAATTATTTGGTAAATATAAAATATTTTATAGAATATCCTATATCCTATATATATGTCAGTTTTCTGTATCTTCACAAGAATTAATTAGTTACCATATATATATGACTTTTAAGGAATATGCTTTTAAATTTGTTTCTATAATTGATGATTTGGTATTGATTTTCTCATTAATTTATTTTCATTAATGCTTTAAATCGTTTGTGATGCAATATTTGTAGAAAAATAACCAATATCCGATTGAAATTTTCAGGTCAAAATCAGAAAAATAATCCGATCCGATTAAATGAACAAATATTAACAATATATTAAATGTGTTATGATCTTAACGAATTTGGTATTCATCATTAAAAACTATAATTATGTATGGTCATAATAATTATTGTTTGCTTCGAATAAATGTTTATTTCTTAAAACAGAAAACCTTTGAATTAAAAAATATATATCTATAGGATATTCGAATTATATATTTTGGTGTTGAAAATTCGGATAGCATTTAATCTTTAATGTTATTTCCTTTTTTGTAGAGAAATCATACCAAAAATATTGAGAAAACAAATTTTTTAATATATTGAATCATTTAATATTGTTATTTGTTTTTACGAAAATTAAGGCAAGATCCGAATCAAATATTTCCGGGTCAAAACTAAAAAAAATCCGACCCGATTGGAAAGAGCAAATTTGTACTTCAAAAATGTTAAGTAGATAATCTCGGTGAGTTTTAAGAACCCCGAGATGCCTAAATAACAACAAAGTATCGGAAATTGTTTGATAGACATTTCTGATGGCATAAATACTTGATGTCGTATACGCTGCCAAACTTAAATAATTGCTTTCAATTAATATGGCAAATTAAAAGACAATTTTCAGCATAAAACAACAAGAAAGCTTTCCTTTGTCCAACGGAATTATTGATGTTCAATGCATTCCCCACTTTTCTTTTCTTTTTGTTTTTTCGTCAACAAAACTTGAAATTAATGAACTGAGTTTTTTTTTTCTTTTAAATTGAACTGAGTTATTGATGTATAAATATTGGGTTTGATTGGTGAACAAAAAAAAAAGTATTACAAGTTGTACATTTTTTATTTTTATCAATCACAAAAATTTTATAAAAAGCGTTACAAAAAAGTTTTACTCTCAGTTTTTTTTGTACAGTTTTCTCGTACAACTCTTTGATACAGTTTTGCACTATTCTGGTAAAGGTTACAGCTTTGTCCTATTCTGGTAAAAGTTACAGCTCCAGCTAACAGATAAAAAACTTGTACAACTTTGATTACCAATCAGATCCATTGACGATGTCGTATCTAAATCCAAACCACAATCTTAAGAATGTTTTGTTTTCCAAAGCCGTAGTATATAATTTTGTCGGTCGTTTGATTTAAGAAGAATTTTCTTACATTTCTTTATTGGTTATGGCATTTAAGAAACAAGTCAAGTACTTATTTGATATTTTGATTACAGAATCTGAACACATAATTGACAAAAAAAAAAAAATGTACGTATTAATTAAACACTAAATTTTTGTAAGCCAGATGCAATGAATTAACAAGGATGCGACAAATAATTTTATTTTAAAAAGTTGCAACAAACAACACAATATTTATTTGACAATGTTAATATCAATTATATATGAAGATAATAGATTACGATAATTATAGGAATGATATCTTTTAAATTCTTTTGTTCCATTCCTTCTATGCAATCTTTTGTCATTGGTAGCTTTATCCCTTCGATTCTATATTTGCCAAAGCATATATATGCTTCTTTATTATATTAAGATTTATGAAGCATGTCTCTTCTTCCGTAAAGCACTCGATGAATACATACATGCCTTTGTGTGGATTTTTTTGTTTCTTAGAGAAAATATTTGTATCCTAAAAATTTTATTTGACTAATTTATATATAAATTCTTATGATGTTAAATTTTCATTGTTGTTTTTTTATCATTTGTAAATCTTACAAGTATGTCTAAATTTGTTTGATTATTCTTACTTGTGTTCAGATATAATAGTATTGTTTTTTTTAAGCTCTAATAGTATTGTTGGTTTAATTATGTCATCTTATTTGCTTAAGAGACTTTTTTAAGAGATCTAGAGTCACAACTAAAATTTAAGATTTGAATTGTAGTATGTAGGTGATAAATTTTCCAGATGAAAATTTATAACTATTAAAGGATTCTACAAACTGATGATGAATTATCTTTTAAATTGTTGTAAAAACATGTTTATATGTTAAGTTACAATGTGCTTAGGTGTCACCAAAGGACAACAATCATTCATCTTTAATACAGTATATATATAGGATTATAACTAAACAGCTTATCTCTTGCCCATCCCCTGTAATTTAAAATTAATATTGGTACAAATCAAGATTATCCTTACCTACCTAATTTGATTATTTAAGTGTCCGATCAAATTTATTAGTTTTTTGAAAAAGAGAATGGCTAATTAGCCGGCAGTCAAAAGGTTTCAGTGGGGTGGTAGAGCCACCATGACCTTAATAGATTGAAGGTACAGAAACATCACTAAGCACATAACCATAATTTGTA